AAAAACTGCGGCATGTGTACGGCTCCTTCTGGGTACTGCATTTTCTGGTGCTCTCCGTCAGAACTGCACCCCTGTCAGACGAGACATATACCACGTGATGACACGTTAGGCTCGTGTTGTGTTCAAGGACCCTGACCTTGGCCAGGAAAAACAGGCACTCGCTTGTTTAATTATTTTGCGGTCTAGATTTCTTAAAATGTTTTCTTTTTTGCGTGTGTTTATAAATTACCTCGAGGGCCGTATCAAATGGTCTCGCGGGCCGTATACGGCCCGGGGGCCGGAGGTTCCCCACCCCTGCTTTAAAGCAACAAGTCCTCCAACTCATACGACCAAATAGCTGTGATATAATGAGCATATATCACGGCCTGAAGTGAGCTATTGCTTTTATAAAACGGTTACCAAGTGTGGCAATATGAAAGAAAAATGCACACTCTAATTTAAATAGTTTTTATTAGTAAATAATGATGTTCAATGATGACCCGTTCGAGTCCAGTTTTGGATAGTCTGCCGTGGTTACATTCCATTTCAAAAAGCTGTTTGACGCTCGGCGTAACCTTGTCGTACTGCCACTCTAACATCCAATCACAGAGCTTGAGGACTAATCACGGGGTTTGTAAAGGAAAGCGGATGTTGTAGTCCCAAACGATAGCTGAGGATTCTGGGTAGTGTAGTGTCTTCGGAAACTCTGTAGTGTCTAAACTCCGAAAAAACTATTTGTTTCTCCGAATCGAAGGTTCAAAACACAAAAGCATTGCACACAATTTAAACCAATCAATATTGTGTAATTAACAAGGATAAACTGATGTTTTTTAGTGGATGAGTAATGCAGATATCACTGTGTAATTATTTGACACTGAGGGGAATACTTCCGGTTTTATTATGAAAACTTCAAGACCGGAAATACTGTTTTCACCCTGTGAGGGTTGACGCCAACTTTACATGGACGCTGCGTAAAGACGTAGTACACGTTCTCCTGGCGAGACCTCAAATCATCTTCGTAATATCTATCAAACTATAGATCCTACACATCCACTGGATGTAGATTCTAAAAGTACAATATACACTTCTCGCTAGAAATCTAATCAAAAAGCATTTTAATGGCCAAACTATTCCACAATTTAGGATTTTCCAGAGAGGGTTATTTGTGAATAAACGACCCTCCGGAGCGTTTGCAATCAACGGGAGCATGTTGTTTCTTAAACGACCACTAGAGGTGCTACACTTTAAAACGTGACTATGGGTCGTAATAAGCTGCTGGACAATCAACCTATTTGGTCGTTTGTCGTAGGAGGACAGGCTGCTTTAAAGTTGTGAATATAAAAGATAAAATATATAATTGTGCATTGAAAACTATGGTTGCCGACAGGTGCAAATGCGTTACAACGACCCAAAACATTTCCATAAGGTGAAACATACTGCGGTTTCATGCAACACAACAACAAATGTGCCAAAACACATGCAAATGAAGAAACATCTTGTATATATTTCCGTTATGTTTCAGCCTCTTTCAGTTCTTTTTCAAATGCAGTGTTTTGTATTTGCAGCGCTTTTAGTAAACAATGCGCATGTAAATGCTGCACAGGTGTTTTCAACTTGGTGAAGATGGTTCTTCATTTGCATCTGTTCTGGCACTTTTGTGTTTTTTTATTGGCATCATTATTGAAAGTGCAGCATGTTTGTCTGAATAAAAGTGTGTTGGGCTGTTGTAGCACGTTTGCACATTTTGGCCTCCACAAATTCCAACCTTATGATGATGCTAGAGAAAAATTCAGTGAATCCCCATGTAATTAGGATTAATTTTGTTGGAACCATGTATGTTTGCACCACATGTTTGTAAGTATGTGTAAATATTTCACTGGATAAGTTAAGACTTGACCTGCTGGTGCCGCCAGATGATGAAGATAATTAGCATTCTCCCTCTGGCACATACTATAAATACATACAATAATGGAGCAAGACAACAGTACAAATGCCATATTAATCTATAGTTGTATGGCAATCCGTACTTAAGTCAAACCAAAGTGTTGAACTGACAGACAGAACAGACCCACCCCATGGCTTATAAAATGCTTCATATTGTAGTGGTTGGTTATGTGATGCAATGAAAACAAAGGTTTTATTTCGTCCCTACTGACCGCCAGAGGCGGTGCTTTAGCACTGGATATGTCCATCACATGCATGCGCAGTTTGAGTACCTAATAACAACAAAGTCACCTGTGACCCACGTGACGACGGCTACATAGGCCGGCGTCATTAGCGGATCGGTTCCTTTTCATCTTCTCGCTTCGCGAGAGTACCGTGGTTGCATTTTTGTAACCTACAGCGTTCGTTGGAACGTTAGATCTAAGGATTTCCCCGCTTACAGCCGGCTGAGTGCAGTTTCACGACTATTCCAGTCGGGGCTACGGGCTACCCGTCCCCCAGGAGCTGTGGCCGGCTACGCGGAAAACTTCGACGGACAGGTTGGTGTCAGCTTGGTCGGTGATGGCAGTGTTTCCGCTCCCTCTCCCAGCTAAACTGTCCTGATTTCTGTCTTGTTTACTATTTGGCTTTAACTTTTTTGGTGACAGCAGCGTTTCCGCTCCCTCTCCCAGGAGTTGCCTTGCTGTGCTATTTTGTACTTCTGCTGACCGTGGCGTTGTGCCAAGCTATCATTAGCATTTTGAGTTTCCAGCTTTAGCTGTGTTTCCTTGTTAATTAGTTAGCAGTAGCGTTGCTCAGCCTAACCATGTCCTGGTGCGCAGCCACTTGGCTGACGCCGGAATAAACCGGGATCACCCGTGCTGTCTTGTTTGCTATTTTGCTTAAACTTTTTTCTTGGTGACGGCAGCGTTTCCGCTCCCTCTCCCAGGAGTTGCCCTTGCTGGGCTATTTCGTACTGTTTCTGACCGCGGCGTTATGCCGAGCTATTATTAGCATTTTGAGTTTCCAGTTTAGCTGTGTTTACTCGGTTAACTAGTTAGCAGTAGCGTGGCTCAGCCTAACTGTGTCCTGTCGCGCAGCCACTTGGCTGATGCTGGATTAAGCCGGGATTATCCGTGCTGTTTTTTCTTTAGAGGCCAGTTTCTGGTTTTAGCCTGTGTTTACGTTTAACTTCGTTATTATCCCAACCAGTGAAGGCAGTGTTTTCGCCCCCGCTCCTGGTGAGCGTGTTGCCCGATTGTTAGCAGCAACCGCCCGGCTAAGCTGTCCTGTTGAGCTTCTTTATTTTATTTTTATTTCAGCTAGGTGAAGGCAGTGCTCTCGCTCCCGCTCCCTTTGCTGGTAACGTGGGTGTAGGACGTTTACATCCCTTTTTGTGTTCGGCGAGTAGGAGCATTGCTCTACTCTTCCCGTTCAGCAGGTAGCTGGTGAAGGCTGTGTCCTCGCACCCGCTCCCGGTTGCCCTGCATCTGGCCACGTACATAATGGCTCATTCATGTAGCGCCTGTATAGCTCCTCTTGAGCCCGAGGACGGCCATGACCGCTGCCCCTCTTGCTTTGGTCTCGAGCATTTGAGGGAGGGTCTCACGCAGAACGCCTGCATGAACTGTAGCTGTATGCCTCGGGCGCTCAGAGTAGCTAGAGTTGCAGAGGTGGAGCGTTTGGCAGCAGCCAACGGACACCACTCCTCGTCACATCTTCCTCCAGAGCAGTTTAGCCGTTCCCGGCGACGCGAGGGAACGATGGCTATGGGGTCACCCCCCAATAGGAGGTCTAGAAACAGGCTGTCCTCTAAGGTAGATCAGTTAGCTGCCGACATGAGCATGATGAAGACGCTCCTCTTGGACTTTCAGCCAGGAGGAGCGTCTAGCTTGCCGCCCGCCCCTCCTTCGGTTGCCGCACATCCACATGACGATGTCATGTCACTAGTGGCTTCGGCTAACCTCTTCAACGAAGAGGTGGAGGACGAGGCCCCGCTCACTCCCGAGGAGGCTTCCCACTCCTCTGCTCAGGGTTCTCTGCAGGGCGTGGAGGACGCCTCCATGGCGGCCATTATTCATGCGGCCCTGGCACACTTGCAGCTTCCGGTTCCGCAGGCCAACCCGGCTAAGGCTAGCGCCTTCTTCAGGCGTAACCCTGCCACTGTCCCCCTCACTGTTCATCCTTCAGAGGAGTACCTGAGGGAGCTCCATGCATGCTGGACAGACACCAAGGCCCTCTCCCACTCTGGCTCTGATGCCCGGACCTTGGCTGCCATGCAAGATCCAGCGAGGGTGGGGCTGGGTCGCATGCCACCCATTGAGCCCACCATCGCCTCCCTGATTCTGGCTCCTGATGAGGCTCTAAGGCCTGATGCCAGGTGCTCTCGGCCTCAGTGCAGGGTCACATACGAACTGCTCTGTAAGGCCTACGACGCAGCGGCACGCATGGGTCGTATCGGGAACTCCCTCTCCCATTTAATGCTGGCCGTCTCCTCCTCTCTGCGGCAGGCTCCGGCTGAGACTCCTTTGCTGGGCCTCAGTGATGTATTCACTCCAGGCCTTTCCTTTAATGACTAGGGAACTGGGGCGAGTTATGTCCTTACTGGTGCAGACTCGCCGCCAGGTTTGGCTGGCGCAGTCTCCTCTAACGGAGACATGTAGGAGAGTCCTCCGTAGCGTGCCAGTCGAGCTGTTTGGGGCAGCTGCCCTGGAGGCACTGGAGCGTGCTGCCCAAGCTAGGCAGACCAGGCAGCAGCTCTCGGGTCTTCATAGGCCTGTGCCCACTCCCAGCAGGCCCAGGGGCCCCTCTTGCAGACGCACTCAGCCACCAGCTTACAGCGGTGGTTTGCGGAGGTCCCAGCGGCCCACTCAACCGCCTGCCAGTGAGTTTCGGGCCCCCGATCGCCGGCCTTCTAGGCAGCCTCGTACCTCAGAGGCCCAGATGCCCCGGGGCCGGTCGTCGGCTGATTTTCCCAGCAGCAGCAGCAGCTCAGCTACTGGGCTGCCTGTACTTCCGACCCCTGGGTAGTTTCCACCCTAACCCGGGGATACGAATTGCAGTTCCGACGCCGGCCCCTAGCCTTCGGCCGGGTCAGAATGACAGTTGTCAACGACCCAGTGAAGGCCTTAGCTCTGGCCCAAGAGTTATCCGTCCTCTTGGCCAAGGGCGCAATCGAGCCAGTAGACCCTCTGCTTCAGTCCGGGGAGTTCTACTCGGCGTACTTTCTTGTGACCAAGAAAGTCGGCGGATTCCGTCCAGTTCTGGACCTCAGAGGACTCAACAGATTCCTGAAGGTGCTGCCCTTTCATATGCTAACCACAGCAGACACCCTTCGTGTTGTCACACAGGGGGAGTGGTTCGCAACCGTGGACTTGAGGGACGCCTACTTCCACGTGCCGATTGCATCCCATCACCGGAAGTTCCTGAGGTTCGCCTTTCGGCGCCAACACTATCAGTTCCGGGTGCTTCCCTTTGGTCTCTCCCTCTCTCCAAGGGTGTTCACCAGGGTCGTGGCGGCAGCTCTCTCACCCCTGCAAGCGACTGGCTGGTCTGCGCGCCATCCCGGCCTCACGTGGCCCAGGATACGGCGCGCCTCTTGTCTCACGTAGCCCGGTTGGGCCTGAGAGTGAACACCGAGAAGCGTTGTCTGGACCCTGCCCAACAGGTCACTTACCTGGGGATGGTCCTAGATTCGGTCGCCATGAGGGCCTACCTGACACCTCGTCGTGTGGACGACATTTCCCACCTTCTTCCCATCTTCAGGCTGGGCAAGATGGTGCCTTACATCCAGTTCCTCCGGCTCCTGGGCACACTGTCGGCTGCCTCAGCCATTGTGCCCTTAGGCCTGCTGTCTCTGCGCCCCATGCAGATGTGGCTGAACAGCCTCCACTTTGACGCCAAGTGGCACAGGCACAGGAGAGTCAGGGTGTCACAGTGGTGCCTCCACTCTCTGTCACGCTGGGGGGACAGGGCCTATCTTCAGATGGGTGTGCCCATGGGCGCCATCCCATCCCGCCGGGAGACTGTCACTGTGGATGCATGTCTCTCTGGGTGGGGTGCAGTGTGGCAGGGCAGAACTGCTCAGAGTCAGTGGTCCGCCCAGGAGGGTGCGCACCATATAAATGTGCTAGAGCTTCGGGCTGCGCTGCTTGCACTCAAGCACTTTTTACCCCAACTGGCGGGCAGGCATGTGCTTGTTCGTTCGGACAGCATGTCCGCCGTTGCCCATATCAACCACCAAGGGGGCACCAGGTCCGTTCAGCTGCTCCGGCTTTCACAGAACTTCTTGTCTTGGGCGTCTCCCCGTCTGACCAGTCTGCGGGCAGCCTTTTTACCAGACCGAAATCAGGTTGCGGATTTCCTCTCTCTGCACAAACCTCCACCGGGGAAGTGGAGGCTTCATCCAGACGTGGTGGAGTCAATTTGGAGCCTTTTTGGCAGAGCCGAGGTGGACCTCTTCGCCTCGGAAGAATCGAGGCACTGCCCCCTCTGGTTCTCCTGGACGGAGGTGACCAGCCCGATGGGGCAGGACGCTCTGGCGCACGACTGGCCAGACAGTCTCCTGTATGCCTTCCCACCACTGTCTCTGATATTGCAGACGCTTCACAGGGTTCTTACTCAGGGGCACAGGCTCCTTCTGGTCGCGTTTGGTTCCCACTGCTGCGCATTCTCTGCTGCAGCCCACCATGGCATCTCCCCGACAGGAAGGACCTTCTGTCACAGCTCGGAGGTCAGATCTGGCATCCCGACCCTCACCGCCTTCAGCTCTGGGCCTGGCCTCTGAGGGGCCAAACCCACTGTTGAGTGTTTTCACGGCATCTGTCAGGGAAACTATCCTGAATGCCCAGAGCACCATCCACTCGAGCACAGTACGAGTGCAAATGGAAGCTCTTCTCTCACTGGTGTTTGGGTAAGGCCGAGAGTCCGGAGCATTGCTCTGTGGCCACCATTTTAGAGTTTCTGCAGTCCCTTCTGGATAGTGGTCGTTCTCACTCCACTTTGAAGGTCTATATGGCTGCGATATCTGCCCAACATGTGGGAGTCGACGGCGGCACGGTGGGGCGCCACAGGTTGTTGTCCCTCTTCCTGAAAGGGGCTTTACGGCAGCGTCCCCCTAGCACCCCCAGGGCTCCGGCTTGGGACCTGCCCCTAGTCCTGGATGCCCTGTCATCTCCTCCCTTCGAGCCCCTGGCCCAGGTAGGGCTTAAGTGGCTGTCCTTGAAGGCAGCATTTCTGCTTGCCGTAAACTCAGGGAAACGAGTTGGAGAGCTACATGCCCTCTCCGTGAGCGATACATGTCTGAGGTGGAACTCCGATGGCTCGGGTGTTGCCCTCTGGCCGAACGTGGCGTTCCTGCCCAAGGTGCTTCCACTAGCCCACTCCAATCGGCCTATCCAGCTGGCGCGCTTTAACATCCCACAGGAGAACGGCACGCCTGAGTTTCTGTGCCCTGTGCGTGCCCTAGAGGTGTATATTGGTGCTACGGCCCGTATACGACAGTCAGAGCTGCTCTTCATTTGCCATGGCGGCACGAGAAAGGGTTGTGCTCTCTCCAAGCAGCGGCTGTCCCACTGGGTTGTGGATACCATCTCACATGCCTATGGGGCCAGTGGCCACCCCCCGCCATCAGGGGTGATATGTCACTCTACAAGGAGCATCTCAACGTCTTGGGCTGCCCTGAGAGGGGTGCCCCTGGAGACCATCTGCGCCGCGGCGTCGTGGGCATCGTCTGGCACATTCTCCAGGTTCTACCGGGTCAATGTCGCCACTCCCCATCCTTTGGGCGTGGTCCTGTTGCCGAGCTCCGCTGCTTCCAGCTAGGTAAGCAAGTGTTCGGATTCTTCATGACATGGTTGGTATAAGTCATCCAGTGCTAAAGCACCGCCTCTGGCGGTCAGTAGGGATTAAATAGAACGATAGTTACGGCTGTAACTACGGTTCTATGAGTCCCGGATGACCGCCAGAGTTTCCTGTCACTCAGAATTCTTGTGTGCTCGCGAGAAGATTCTGGGAACCGATCCGCTAATGACGCCGGCCTATGTAGCCGTCGTCACGTGGGTCACAGGTGACTTTGTTGTTATTAGGTACTCGAACTGCGCATGCGTGCGATGGACATATCCAGTGCTAAAGCACCGCCTCTGGCGGTCATCCGGGACTCATAGAACCGTAGTTACAGCCGTAACTATCGTTTTATGTACCATTTGTTGTCTAAAATATAGTACATTATTGCAAATGTCCTTGTTAAGTGTGCAGTCTATCTGAAAAGTAAGTTCATGATCCATTAAAATCTGTGTACTATTACCAGGAAGTATGTTATATAGCTGTTTCAAACAGCGGCACAAAAATGACAAATTAAACACAAGGCCACACAGTGTTGTAACTGTAGGGAAAGTGCTGTATACCTCCTATTACTGTACCATTAAGTTAAAAGTCTTTCTTGCTTCTGCTTTCAAGAGATGCTGTTAAATCAGAGCAGTAACAGTGAGCCCGGAGCTGTTTTGGAAAATTGTTCCGTGGTGGAATAGCATTAGCTGTTGAATTGTCAATTTTCACCACCACAGGGAAATGGAATGAGCTCTAGGATAGTTTTCTGGATGATTGGCATTAACCACGTGAACACGTTCACTTATATTCTTCAGAGATGCATTTTTGAAAAAAAAACAAGTGATTTTTCTTTCATGGTACTTACTGTATGAGCTGAAAGTCTGAAACCCCACACTAGGGATCCAGCTTCATTAGGCCTGTGTGTATTTCTCTTCACTAGTAGTTAAAAATCACTCAAAAGAGCTTTAAAATGTCTCTTCATGTCAAAAATGTATGCCATTTTGGCCCTGGAATCTCCATCTTCACATTTTAAACAACAGGGTTCTCAAAAATAGACTTGTCGGCAGTGGAGTGCATGCTGGGAGGCATTCTGAGCCATGTCCAAATGGATAGGACAGGACGATACAAGAGCAATGTTGATCTTCCTTCAGTTACATTGATTGCTTCAGCTGTCTATAGCAGACCTGTGAGCGGGAAATTGCTGCATCTTTTCATTTGACAGCAATTGTTGATAACAGCTTAGGAGCTTGTGAATGTGCAAAACCCACAGTTTTGGGTACAGGTTTTTCCATTACTACAGACTCTGACATTTGAGCAATTTCAGCTGCTTATCGTTGTGTGACTTTGGTAAGACTTGACCTTGACACTTCAAACACTTTACTCTCATTCAGTGAACCTACATTAGGGGAATACTATTCACCACTTTTCAATCTCCCAGCCCATATTGTAGTGCTACCATATGATCTGCATGCTAACTATAATCTTTTCTCTTCTCATTCTCAACTGATGCATCTCTCATTCCCTCCTTTTTTTAAAGTTCTTTTTCTTAGTCCTGATGGAAGATCTCCTGTTGTTCTGGAAAAGTTAATAGGATAGCTGCTGGCAGCATTGCACCGTGCTGGCTAACAAGAATATTCCCAATGACACTAAATTGAGTTAAGTTCTAACATGTTTAACTATGCTTCAGATGGACACAGTTATCGTGTGAGATCATCTGGGTTTACAGATTACAGAGTCAGTTCAGAACATGCCAATGAAAAAATTGAGAATGTCTTTAGAAAAATCAACCCCAAATTCTTCAACTTCAATGTGATGGAAAACAAGCCCTTTGAAGGTATTGGATATGTGTAAAAGAAATGATAATAGTTGTGTTGTTCTCATAATCATTCACACCAGTTCCCTGCTGCAGCAAAAAGTCCTAAATTACATTAGAAAATTCCGTTACCTGAGTGTTCAAAAGAAATACATTCGAAAGATGATAAAATTGAGCAACACACTTGTTATGTGCTTGAGACTTTAAGCCTTTTAACTTCTAAGCTATTGAGATGTTGCCATTTATATATAATTGCCTTCATTATATTGAGATTGATCTAACATTAAATGTCCAGAGGTGGCATTTTCTCTGCCAGCTTAATTGTTTTGCCTGTTTCAAAATCCTAAGTGCAGAGGTGCTGCAGTATGAAAATGTGAAAAATGTAAAACACGTCACAGTAGAGAAACAGAATACTAATATGAAACTGAAAATGAGCATAATAGGTCACCTTTAAAATATATTTAATTATTGAAAATTCATTTTTACGAAATTCTTAAGTGAAATGTTGATAGCATTAGTTTACACGTTTTTTTTAAAAACCCATGCATTGTACTTGCAAATTCAGGATTTGTTAAATTCCATATAAATTGCAGAAATGTGAATTAGAGGCGAAAGGTGGGCTATATGGTGGTCAGTTATGACCCCCCCCCTACACACACACACACACAAACACACACACACACACACACACACACACACACACACACACACACACACACACACACACACACACACACACACGCATTAACCTAGCAGCAAAGAAGCGTTCAGGCCTGACCTCCAGCGGTCAGCCTTTTAACCCACAGGCTAATTATAAACCTCATTATGTTCTCTCAGACCTGCTCCCCCATCACATTAATTCTGCTATGTGCTCGTATAGACTGAGTAGTGATGTCGCAAGGCACAGGAGAACAGATAGGCACCCCTGTCCATACACACCACTAACATTAACCCAGTCGGTAACACCTTACAATAAGGTACACAAAGTGTGCTTATGTTACTGACTAGTGAATAAGGAACGACTAGATAGTTAATGGTTAGTTAATGAGGAGTTCCTGAGTGACTGCGATTGAAGAACTGATGGTTAGAATCAGAATCAGAATCAGAAACAGGTTTATTGCCAGGTAGGTTCACACATACTAGGAATTTGACTTGATGTCATGGTGCATACATAAAATATAAAAAACAAGAAATCTAATATAAAACACAAAATCTTTTACACCGTAATAAAATACAGTTAAATAGCAATAAAATACAAATAAAATAAAGCAGTAATTTACATGAAAATAGAATAGAATGCTATGAATGAATGTTTGCATATAAACTATGAAATGTGAAATCAGAATATGTGCAGAAAGGAGTATGACATTGTGTGCATTAATGTAATGCATATAGAGTGGCGAAGTCCCTCCCTTTCCGGTGGACCTCCATGGGACCTTATTTCGGAAAAATTATGTATTGAAGTCAATGGAGAGAGAAAGATTATCTTTCGATCCCGTTTGAATTGTGCCACGAATTACACATATGATGTTTGTCAATTTAAAAGATAATTTTGCAAGTCAAAAAAAATAAAATGTGTCGTAAAACTGTGTAGTAACACATTTGTTTGTGTGAAACGCTCAATGAATTACATCTCTGGTCAACAACACACGTCACCAAGATGGCCGTCACTACTGTCTTGTCAACAAACGATTGACTACCCTCACTATCACCACAATGAAACACGTCCAGAAGAATGTCATGCAAAGCTGCCTGCCTGCCTTCCTTTGATTCTCTCTGAACTGCCTGGTCTTTTTAATTTCAACCATTTGTGCAGATAGCATGAAGTAGAAAAGATCGCTGATCGCCGATGCTACCGTTAGCATTTCTCCCCCGGGCTTAAATTGTGTATTATAGAATGATCACACCGGTGACAGTACTCTTCAACGGGTTCACGAAATATGACTACTACTCTTACTGTTTAACATTTTGGGTTACTTAATGTTACTTTGTAGTGATCACTGATTCATACACTGGGGTGACATAATTCAATCCGGGAACTACAGGTTGGGGGTATTGTTTCCGCCCGGACATATATGTTGACGGTACCTCCGGGGTACCTACTGTGTGTCCTCCTCTTTCACTTTCTCTTCTCTTCTCTTCTGCGGCTTCGACCCGACAGCACGTC